ACACAGGACCACACACCCAACATCTGTCCGCTCACCTGAAAAATAAATGGATAAATACATGGAGGGCATATATAATTCAATTCAAAATTCAAATTCAAAAATTCTTTATTGATCCCAGATGAAAATTTGGTGTTGTAAATAAATATATACACATACCCATACATATATAAAGATATACATTCATAAATATTGTCAGTATATACAGACATACAGTATATACAGTACACACTTAGTGACCAGTCAGAACCCCCTGGATCAGAACACCTGTTTGTGAGCGGTTGTGAACATGCTTGTATATACAATATTTCTCCAATGGAATATTTAATAGTGACTGGGGAGGACCGGAGACCCAACCCCCAAGACACGAGGCAGACATAGGGAAGACCAGAGCCCAAGGGCCCGAGAGGGATCCCGAGCACAGAGCTCCAAGGGGCACCCGCACGGGAAGATCCGCCCACCCACCCCCCAGATCAGACCATAGGGGAGAACTGGGAGAGTCCCACCAGCGACCACACGTACAGCCGCCGGGGCCAGCAGCGACAAACTCATGGGCCCCACCCGCACCCGCCATACCAGAGCAGATCCAGGAAAGGGCACAGAGGTCCAGGCCCMCAGGGYGCACCCCCTCCAGGCCAAAGCCCGACAGGGCCAGAGACCCCGAGCCCCAGCAGGCAGTCACCAGGCCAGGCCGGCACACACCCCAGCGCCTAGCGSCCAGCGCCCAGCCCCAGACCCCGGGAACCCCCAGCATGCCGGCGGCYAGCCGCTCACCCCACTGGGGGGCCGAGTAGCAGCGGGCCCCCAGATAAACCAGCAAGAAGGGCAGCCCAGACCGCAGCCTGACAAATACCCAAACATACACAATCGCACCATCCCACCCTCATCCTCACCCCGACTCAATCAAAGACGTACAAGGACGTCACATTCCACTCATACCCCCGAAACACATTCAATACCCCCAGGTCTAGGACATGCACCCATCCCCTATTGGAGGCAGCACACACCCGAACCCAGGAGGTAGACCCAATCATTCTGAGRTGGAGAGGAGCAGACAGCCAAGGCCCGGCCCGGGCCGCACCAGTACACCCAGCCAGCCCCCCGCTGCAGAGAAGCCACAACCATGACCACCCCACCACACCGCCAATGACCAAGTGCACCCCCCCAGCCATCCACCCCCGGAACCTGGCAGCCACCCCGGCCAGGGGGCAACCCACAGGAACCAAGAGCAATACCTCAGGAGCACCACCAGGGGGGATGGAGAGCCAGCCCCACCCCCGGCAACCGTCCAAGCCCCGAGCCTACCCACAGCCCAGGACCACACCTGGCGGCCCGCCCTTCTTCAGGACTCCCTCCCCAAATGGCAGTCAGGGAACGGGATGGGAATAAAGACCCTGACACACACACCCCCACCCCCAGATGTACTGTTGGTGCGTGTTGTTCTATAGAGCAATTAAAAAGGGAAAGAAGAAGAGGCAGAGGCCGGCGTGGTGCCAGTTTCCCCTCCACCACTACTCTAACCCAAAACCCTAAGTGTCTATATGCAAACCTTGGGGGGTGGTCACAGGCACAGGAGGTGAAAGTGGTGCCATCCAGCCACCTATAGCCATGAGTGCCCACCATAAGTTCCTATATGTGAATGTCATGAAAATGTTATGAGTGAATGTCTAAGATGTACAATCAAWTTTGGGGCCCAGGTGGTTATGGCAAATAGAAAGGTGATATTGTTGCTCTTTTAACACAACTGTGACCCAAAAAAACCCTACATGGGTGAAGTTGAAAGTGAAGAGGATGGAATTGTGCGGTGAGGGATGGGGAGAATAAGCTGAAGGAGCAAAATGCTCCCACAGGGAGTCAGCTCTCCCGCTGGCCCCAGTAAGCCCTCCCGTTCCCCAAAACCCACCCAGGAAGAGCAGCTCAAATCCTCTCCCTCCAGGCAAACCGCCAAGTCCACAGAACCCCAGACCATGGACTGACGGAGCCCTGAAGGCCACCAGAAACCGGGACCAACACCCGCCCACTCAGAGCCACCCAGACCCCCAAAACCCGACCCCAGCCCCATTGCCGGCCCGCCGCCCAGAGAGGCCACCATTCCCCAGCAAGGATGACCCGGCCAAGAGCACCCACCCAACTGCCGACAGAGCAAGGGGGCACCCAGGGTGAGCCCCCGCCACAGCAAAGGGGCCAACCAGCCGGCCCAGCACGACCCCCAGCCACCACCAAAGGCCACTAACCAATCCCCACCCCAGAAGACTTACTACACCCACCCCAACATTCTTGCTTTGACAATGATAGGTGGTGCAACAATGATATAAAAAGTCAAAAAAACTTTGATCCAGATGGGAGGACCCCACAAGGGCACATTGAAAAAATCTAAATGTGTGTGTGAAGGTTTTTGCTTGGTTGGGGCCCCACAAGGATAACCGCTAAAAATGTGTGTGTTCTAATGACTGAATCTTGTTTGAAGGTAGCGACTATAGAATTGTCTCATGAGATAAAATCGTTTTATAAACATTAGTTTAACATAAGTTATTACCTGCAGGCTGGTATCACTTCTGACCAGGGCAAGATTCATGCAAAGATGGTGCTGTGTCACTTGCATCAACAGGGGCCTGAGAGCCTGCAACATAGAATTTAAAAGAAAAATGATTCAAGATCATACAGATGACATACAWGACAGACATAAGACMTGTGAGTTTCATTCGTGTGAAATTTGTCCTTGTAAAACCTCATTTTGTAATAACAACGCATTATGTAATAATGTAATAAAATCAGGCTTCAAAATGTAATAAATGCGCGCTAAAACTGCATTATGTAATAACTCACGCAAAATGTAATAAGTCTTCAATGCATTATATAATAACATTATTACATTTTGCGGCAATTATTACAAAATATGTTAGTGTAATAATCTGGTGCATTATGTAATCAACAATCAAAAACCAGTATTTCTGTTCATCCTAATCAACATACTTGTAATAACTGTCATGTTGCAAATACTACATAATTAAATCTTTATAAATTTAGTCAWTAAAAACGGAACTTCTCATTAGTAAGCGCAAACAAAATGTTTAGGTCCGCAATTAGCGGGTTTGTGCTTTAGCGGACTGGTGCCCACCACTGGGTCCTTCCGTGTAGAGGAGCATAATGTGCACTGGTTACATCGTCCCAATTTTCCCTGTATCCTGTTCTGAGTTCATTTCCTGAGTTTGTAAGTAGAGTTGTCTGCCTCATCAGCACCTTTGTTTTTCCTGTATTTAATAAAATCAGCTACCTTTTTACCTGTGTCTCCTGAGTCCCTGCCTGGGTTTCAGCTACCTTAGACATTCCCCACTAATAAGGGTGGGTGTTATTTTTCTTTCTCTACTTCCAACTAAAGACAAAACTATTCCATTTGGTCTTTTTTGGGCTGCATTGAACCTGTATGGAGCTGTGCTTCTTAGACCCAGGAACTTACTGAAACCTGATTGAGGCAACAGCTAAAAAACTCAAACTGCCTTTCAACAAAAGAGCAACTACTTCTTCCTTTTTTGTGTGTGTGATTTTCATTAGATTGTTTCCTCAAAGAATTGTTTAAGGCACTTTTTGAAGTCCTTGAATATTTCAGGCCTGTATCATCATGATTTCATTATTTTTTCCATGAATATAAAAAAATATGGGAATATTGCAAAATTAGGTTTAAAATAAAATGTTTGAATTACATGGAAACTACGTGTATCAATTTAAATCTAAGAGATGGAAATTGCTGCTAAATGGTTTCAATCTGAAACTTTTCTGATAAAAAAGTAATTCTTTATTCAGGTTTAAGGTTTTAATGTTCCTGTGATGTGTTTCCTACAAATACAACAATGGGAAGAACACATCTTAATATACAGTATAAGAAATTTGGCATAATACACATAATTTTCCCCATTTTGTTAGATAACTGGCATGTTTTTATTTTGCTTAAGCCAAAGTGAAACCGAAAGATAAAACAAAGAGGAACTTTTTCAAAAGGTGAACTCCCTGCTCTGACTTTTCATCTCTCTCTGATTGTGACTCAAAAGAATCTAAAGAAACATCAGATTTTTCACTACAGTCTGTCTTGTTAGACATTGTAGTGATACTCTGTTTACATACAGGCATTCCTCTTTTCAGTCACAGAGGAAGGGCTGGTAATCTTTCAGTTGTGATACAAAAAAAAAACTCAAATCAAGTTTTTTATGTGATCTGGCAGGAGATTCCCTCCATTTATCGTTAGAGCAAATTTTTGGTCCATTGTGGAGTCCATAAAGGAGCCATCTGCCAATACTGTGGTTATCTTTCCAGGCTTGGAAAGCTGGGAGCAAGTTTGCCCGACCTGAGCGTGACTCAAATTTTCCAGTGTTTCTTTGTGCTGGAAACTAGTTGTGAAGGAAAGGGGAACAATCAAAAACAATCAGTCAGTGTAAACCAACCAACATGTTGTAGAAGCTCCTTCTTCGCTCTCTGAGCTCCATGGCAACATTCACTTTGATATGCAGATACTCTTGCCATTTCTACAGTGCAGCACCATCGGGATTATTGACTTTTTCGAGAGGCAGCGCTTTCGCATTAATTGAGAACCTAAAATTGTGCTTCCCTGTTTTAGTGTTTTTTATTTATTTATTTATTTTTGTGCATCTGAATAATAATGCTTCATGTTTCTTCATCCCCCCAGATGTGGAGAGAACACTGTGTGCTGGTGCCAGAGAGTTCACTGTGAGGAAGAAGCTTGAACCTGTTGTCTTCACAGCCTGAAGCCTGAACACCATCCTCGAAATTATCTTTACCAAGCTGGTATAATGGCACTCTTCTGGTAGTTTTTGCCTTTTTGTCCGGCTCCAAACGGCCGCCTGGTGTTGATAAATCTTGGGCACATTTTTACTCTCTCCTTACAAACCAGCTTCTACAATGGATTGCCTGTGTCCGGGTGAAGGGGTGAGCTGGACACAGGCCCTCGCCGGCAAACTGTAGCCATCTGGATTTTATTCAGCATAATTCCCGTGCTTTTATTCTGGAGTTATCCTGCATTTGGACCAGGGATGGATGTACCAGAGGCCAGCAGGCATGCCAAGAAGTCAACATCTCAAAAGCTTGAGGACCAGAAAAAGGTAGGCAAATCTTTTCTTTTCTTTTTTGTCATTTCTTTGAATATGCTTCATTTTTATTTTTGGATAGTGTTCTGTTTTTTCAGTTTTATTATGTGCAAACCAAGAGCTAAATGYTTGTTTATTGCTGGGTTTGTTGCTCTCTTCACACAAAAAAGAGCACATCAGTCCATTTGCTTCTGCTGTCTGAATTCTTAATTGCTCATTTGCTTCATAGCTGCTATTTTAAAAGATTAGTTTGAAATGGGAGGAGTTTCTGCTCCTCCTCAGTGCCTTTATTCTTTCATCTAAACTCATAAGGCTTGGTGGGCAGGAGCAGTCCTAACCCATGTAATGGGAATACTTGTTTAATTTCTTTTTGATGTTCTCACTTCTAAAAAAAATGTCCCAATGAATGAATCCAATAGTTTTTATCTGCATTTAATTCTGTTGTTCAGACAAATTTGGATTGGTAATAATTTGGCATAGGCCAGTCTGAATGTGACTGATGGTCATTGTGACTGATCCACCCACCATCTGGGATGGTAGTGACTCACTGGGAAGAAGTTTTGTCACTGTGCTAAAAAATTCATCTCGTCTGCAGAATGAAGGATTTCAGAACAAAAGCTCATTGAGCCTCTGTCTTTCTAGTTTGGGTTTATTTAACTGAGAACACATCAATTGCTACTTGTGCACAAGCCAGTTAAACTGCATACAACTGTTACACTTCAAATGTACACTACATAGGGTACATCTACACAAAGACATTTTGTTGCCAACAGCTAAAATTATCATGCAGGGTTTGAGAATTATGAAACACAATGACTTCAGATCTGTATACTGCTGTTTATTTATTTATTTATTTATTTATTTATTTATTCATTTATTTATTTATTTATTTATTTATTTATTTTTTGTTTGGTTGTGCATGAGCAGGTTCACTGATAGGAAGATGAGTTTCCCATAAAATCCCTTAATGCAGAACTTTTCCTCAGAGCTGTGTGTTGGATTTTGTTTTTTGTGTTCTGAGATATTACTTTTGGGAGACTATCAGTGAATCCTCCCTGGTTTTGTGCTTTGTTAGGTGTCCTCCTGAGCCTGTCTTTAACTGTCACTTTCTGTGGCTCAAACACGATGCTGTTCTGTCTTCTACGTTAGGCAAGGAGGGAAAGATGAAGGAATGCTGAGTTGGTAAAAACAAAACATAGCTTTCGTGTCTGATTTATGATGCCTGCGATGAGTAGTCTTGTGGAAGTGCTAAACTAGTTACAGTGGGTCCATATCTATGTACCCCCSGACCATTGTTTCCCAGTACCATTGTTCTCCCAGGGTTAATAATGAATGTAATGAGAGAGGCTTGGTTCTCCCTTTCGAATGTCTTTTAAAATAGTACAGGTATTGTACCAGGTATGGGGATCTGGGGAACATAGGCAGTGTATCCTCAACATTTTTTGGCCTTGAGTGGGCACTTGTTGGACAGGGGATGGGAGTGGAATTTTGGCTGGCAAGGCACTTGGTTCTGTTAATAGGGCGGGGCTTCCTCCTTAGAAGATGGTGAGGGGAAACAACGATAGGTCCTGGCGAACATAGGAATGACCCTATTACAGTGTTTCTATTGGGTTGCACAACTCTGATAGGTATTTCTAATGTTCTGCTGTCTTGTTTAAGACTTTACCTTTTCAAATGGTACAGTCAAAGGTTTACTCCAGTAGTTTTCTAAATATATCGATATGCAATTCTAAACTGTGTCAACACTCACAAGAATCCATCAGCTAAATMAAGTGGAACACTAATATTTACCAATACATCAAAATGTACAATTTTCTCACTTGTAAATGTTTTTTCCTTTAGCATAACCAAAGTTGACTGAGTTTTACTGACTTTGGTCTTTCTTTCAGGTAGAGACAATTTTGTTACTTGTTTTTTTTTTTTTTTACCAGTATTCATGACATTGCACTTTTATTTTTAGAGCAGCCGGCTTGGGACCTGAAAGTCTTAGGTTCGACTCTCCGCCATGCCGACGTCGTGGTGTCCTTGAGCAAGACACCTAACCCTAACTGCTCCCTGGGGTGCCTCACATGGCTGCCCGCTGCACCACTTGGGTGTGGATGGGTGAAATGCAGAGCACAAATTTCATCATTGTGTGGAAACATACACTGATGACCAATAAAGCACCTTTACATTTGACATTTTTACCACTATTATGAATCTTGTAAAAACAAAAAAGACTGTAATCCTTTAATATTTTCTCATTTAAAACTTTATAGCAATCTATAACTAAAGCTTTATAAAAGCTGCACAGAAATGCACTGTTCCTTTTACTGCCAAGCCAACAATTCTCATTAAAATTAGTGAGATACTAAAACTTTACAATGATTTTCAGTAAAATCTATACAGATACATGAATATACTTTCACACTTCAAATAAAAATAAAAGTATAGTGTTTATGAACATGTATTGGCATTTCAGAAAAAAAACACTGAGTTGGATCTCCCATTCACTTTATAGACTCCAATTTTTTAATTTATTTTTTGTCCAGACATTCAAATTAAGCATTTTAGATCAACTATTTTTTTCTGGTCAAATTAGCTCAGTTGTCAATATGAACTTTTCCAACTTTTCATAACAAACTTACAGGTCCAGTCAGTTTTAGATAGTAACTCATGCCTTAATTACTCAAAACTAAAAAAAAGAAATTGTGATCATGTTGCATTTGTTTTAGCATAACTACAAAATCTTTTTATACACGGATAAYAAAACATCAAATTAAAGAAACTGATCTAAAAATGTAATCCAGTTGATCTGCACTCAAACTTATACAAATCCATCTTTTGATTTAAAATGTCAATTATAACAGTAAATTGTAACATATTTTGCATATACAGTATAACATATATACCATTGTATGTCAGAAGTCTGGGACACTGAAAAGCTGGCGTTAAACTGGGAAATGGGAAAAAATTTCAGTGGTTGGATAAGACTTTATTTTATTTTTAGTATGGTTCCTGAGGTCACTCCTCTCGTTTTGTAAAACCACATTGTGCCAAGGGAAAAACCCTCAAGGTCACAACAAACAAGGCCCGCAGACAACCACATAATAAGCATTTCTTCCACAACACAGCCAACTGATCACAGAGACCAGACCTTGGCCTTGAATGAAAAACTTAGATAAACACGTCTTGGAGAAAAAAGCTATTTCTCATCTCTAGGTCCGGCGGTGTATACTGTATGTATACTGTACGTATGTGCTTTACATGGTTGATAGTGTGGTTGTGCAGTCAGGCTGGATAGAAAACAAGTATGCAAAGTTAATAAAAAATGGAATTAAAAGGTGACACATTTCTCTGCAAAGTCACTTCTGCTTTTGCCTTACTGTTTCTCTTTGTTGTGCCGTGTTGGATATGTGTGAATATTTGTGATACTTTGAAATGTTACTTTTACTTTACATGTATTTTATTTGCATGGTCCGTACATCAAAAATACCATAAAAAATACATAACYTATAGGCCAGGAAAGGTAGCCAACATGGGTGAATGAGCATAGCACACACAAAAATGGCTAATTTTACAGAAATTGAAGTAAAACATGGCATGGCAGTAGCTGTACAACATCCCCAACAGATAGTTTTAAATACTAACAGATTTCATGAGATTTTTATTTAAACCTTTGAAGGTAGACAAATACAGTCCATCAAAAAAAGTTTTCAATGCCAGTGCCATGGCCCTATGCTTCAACTTAAGACACCCTTAATGTGGTTGTCTTCTGTTACTTTTGTTTTGCACCTGAGAAAATCACATTGTTTACATTACTTTATAATCATTGAGAATTGAAAGTAAAATACACAACACAAAATTCACAAGATAATGTGATGATGCTATGGCAAGAAAACTTGGCTATGATAAATAAAATTAATTTATATTATAATTAATGTTCCTAAATACAAATGGGTGTATTTAAAAAGTATGTGTTTTTGGGTTTCAGCCAGAACCCAAATAAATACTTTTTTAAACATGTGTAATAAAAGTATAGAAAAATTAAATCTTGTGGGGCCATTTGAGTGAGCAGAATAATCATGTAGCTTCTTATTACTGAAAAAAATGAAAAGAGACATATTTATCTGCTGCCTGACATTTTACTTTAGTACCTAAAATTTGTCAGTTYAATATGCTGACAGAGCAAGAAATAATTTAAAGCATAATTACAAACATTTTCCTTTCATGTGAACAACTTCTTTGTTAACAATGTTCCTTATTGTAGCAGATGTTAAAAGTTATCACTGGAAATCACTTGGACAGTAAAACATTCAAAGCTACTAATAAAATACCAAAAAAAAAAAAAAACAGAAAACTAAAAATATAGTTTATATATTTTGAATTAAAATGAAAAATTATGAAAAACAGTTAAAAAAGGAATAGCAGGATGTTCATTAACCTAAGAGTTTAGTGGCAATTTGGAAAAGCGAAACAGAGTTTTAGAAATTATTTTTTTTTATTTTGAATGGGAACTAAAAAGCCACTTTAATGAACCTAAAATAAATAAGAAAAGCAAAGCTATCTAATAAATGAACAACAATTTGATGTGATTTTTATTAAGAGGAAAATGACTCACCTGCCTGTGTTTTATGAGTGAATACTTATTTTATATTGATCCTAAATTAAAAACATGAAGAAAAAACAATTAAATCAAGGAGTGTTGTGGCTAAAAAAAGTAAATAAAAATAAATAAATAAATCAAGGACTGTTGTAATACAGATAAACAGCACCTCCTTTAGTAATTCAGACATTTATTTTGAACATACTTGTAAATGTAAAGTATATTATATGCAGTAAATTCGATGCATTATTTCTCATTTCAACCTGGAAAGACACACAAAAATAGCAGTTAAACATTTTTATTGATATAAAAAAGTTATTTGGTGCTCAAGCCCCGGCAGAAGGCATGGGTGCAGTGAACTGCTGAGAGCTAGCAATCAGCTTAGGTTTGAGGTTGTATTCTCACCAGGAAAGACTTTTGGTCTGCTTGT